ACCAGACCTGCAACTTAACTGCACCCGACGAATGCACATCTGCACACCATAAATTTGAAATGCACACCTAGACCAGGACGCCAACCCAAACTTCCGACCCTGACCCCACACCTGTGCTATATTGAATACGACATCGTGCGTATCATCGTGCAACTTCGAAGTTGGCATCAAGGTCGCATAAAAAAAGATGGGGACCCGAACGATTTATTAAAGATATGGGGACCTTCTTGTCTTGCTTCCTTAATGACATTATTAAAAGAACCATCACTCGAGACACTGCTCCTATGTAAACCTCACCTCATTCCACCATCCATAGTTTATATTCACACCATCAACATCTGGATCCTAACACACATCCAAACACGCATACTGATCAATCCAGACTCAAAGTACAGGCATGCCCAGACCCTGTTTTAGAAGCAGGACTCAGACAAAGCTCCATATGAAAGGCTAGAGGTTTACCTAGCCGATCTAAACTCGGTTCGGTACCTCGAATTCATGGGTGCTTTTGAAGCATACCTCAAACTCACGACGCTGAAACACGCATCCATACCTCGAACATGCCTACAATTCTATGCCAGATGCAAGAATTAGACAGAGTTTCAGATGAAAGGTTGCAAGCTAGCACAGCATATCCGAACACGATTCTAAACCTCAAACTCAAATGTTATTCCAAAAACATTATCTAAGACTCAGCAGGCCCATAATCGAGGCAAAAAACACTGCAAATGCTAAGGTAACCATTTTGAAAGAGGACCTCGCCAGAAGGGTACTATTTTCTTAGGATTCTTAGGATAAATTTGATTTCATTAGATGAGGACAAAAAGTTGATTACATTATGTTAATAATCACTAAATACAAATAGTCGTAAAACTGCATATCCCAAACAAAACCATCAATGTTCCATGACTGGAGACTTAACGCCCAACAGCAAGGAAGAATTTCAGGTGCTGCCAAAAAACGTATAGGGAAAACAAATGTACTATTGTAACACGTACCGGTCACCGTATGCCATGACCTCAAAAGTGGCGACCACATCTTGTCAGTGAAGTTGCACACGACTCTGGACGCCCAATAAATGAGGTATTCACCCTATGTAGTCCGCTATTGCATCTGCTTGACCATTTTTCTCAAGGACACAAACTGTTCCCTTCCCTCCCCTCCCCACAAACATATGTGCTCGGCCGACTTCGCCCTCCGTTCTCCTCCTCCACTCCACCACCACCTTGCCATCTTCCTGAATAGTGTTGAACACAATTCCAATGAGTTTGTGACACGGAGCAGAAAGTGAAAGCAGTTGCACATGTGGCATATTGTGCATATCGGGAATTTAAACCAAAGGTATCCAAATTGATTGCGATCACATGAATGTTGCATTTCGTGAGTGTGAAAATGAGCTTTTGTGTGTGTGTGTGTGTAGTCACTTGTGTGTGTACCACTGTGTGAGGGTGTGTTGTGATTGGCAGTGTGTATGTGCACTTGACCAATTGGCTGTAAGAGTCTTAGCACGTCAAACATAGACGATCAAATCGGACCATTTTTCTTGTAAGAGTCTGTGCACTTTACCCGTTGACTGTAAAAGCGTGTATTCCCCAACACTGCACACAAGTAGTAATAGCCAAGAACGATAGTCCAGGGAAAACGGTAAGGCAAAGCAAAAAATGAGTATATCCTACTTTGAGAAAAAATACAGAAATGTATGTTGTTCATCGAAATTTGAATCCTTGTCCGATTACTTAAAGGCCGTGTAAGTGAATAACAAACAACAAAGGGATATAGTAGCGAATACGAACGATGCCTCAAGAGATTAAAAAATTTAGTCTACGACCAATACAACAATAATGTAAAAGATATGCAACATCACTCTAACAGCAATAAGAAAACAATGTAACCGACATATAATAGCAACAATCTAACTGCAGTGACACAGTAACACTCTGTTGACAAGCCCAGTCTTAGAAACGCATCAAACAAAAAGCCAAAAGCAATGAATCTTAATGTACAAGCAATGAATACGGAATGCGGACGCCTTTTTTATGTGAAGTTTTACTTTCACCGCTGCCCTACAATTCTATTTGGAATATAAAATCAGATCTGAACCACAACCCTCACCCGGACAAGTCACCCAAGTCGGACACGTATGTTATTTTGACTATATCATCAAAATCAACATTTCCAACTCGAGGCAATCTTCAACATGACATCAAAATTGACATCATAACCCGGACACTCCGTTGGAGATAAGATAAACACGGATCAGACCTTCACCAGTACCCTAACCCGTACATCTCACTCAAATCCTATACCTACACTATTTTGACTATAACATCAAAACCAACATGTGCAATCCGAGACGATCTTGAACGTGACATCAACATAGACATCACGACCCTCATGCTCCATTGAAGATGAGATCAACTGACATCTGCAATCTCGGGCGCTGTACTAAAATAGACAATATGAAATGTAGGGTCAGACCGCGACCCTGACCCGGACATGTGACCCAATTCGAACAGCTATGCAGTTTTGACTATATCATTAAAATCAACATCTCCATATTGAGGCAATCTTAAAGATGACATCAACATGGACATTGGGACCTTGATATTCCACGTCAGATAAAATCAACATAGACACGAAGACCCATTCATTTTTTAAAGACGACCGCCTACTGCATGCCTAGACCCAGACCGTACCCCAAATCTCTGACTTAAGTTGTTGCCTTGTATTACTATTTTCAATATAAGATCAGACCTTTACCACGATCCTAACTGAGACTTATAAACCTAACATTAAAATCGACATTTGCATCTCGAGATAATCTTGAACATGACATCAATTTAGACATCAGGGACCTGGATGCTCCGTTGGGGATAAGATAAACACAGATCAGACCTTCACCAGTACCCTAACCCCTACATCTCACTCAAATCCTTTATCCACATTATTTTGACTATAACATCAAAATGAACATGTATGCTCTCGAAACAATCTTGAACATGACATCAACATGTATGAAACGCAAGCCCAGACCACGACCCTGACTTGGACATGTGACCCAATTCGGACAGCTATGCTGTTTTGACAATATCATCAAAATCAACATCTCTATCACGACACAATCTTGAAGATGACATCAACATAGACATCGGGACCCATATATTCCGCTTCAGATAATATCAACATAGACGCGAAGACCCAGATGTTTTTTAAAGAGGATAATGTCTGTTGCATGCCTAGTCCCAGCATACATCTGCAACCTCGGGCGCTTTACTAAAATAGACAATATCAAATGTAGGGCCAGACCGCGACCTCGACCTGGACATGTGACCCAATTTGAACATGTATACTGTTTTGACAATATCTACTGGCTGCCTAGATCCATACCCTAACCCGGACCTCTGATTCATGTCGCTGCCCTGTATTACTCTCTGAAATATAACATCTGATATTTAGCACGGTCCTGCCTACGCTATTTTTACTACAACGTCAATATCAACATGTGTATTTCAAGCCAATCCTGCAGAAGAAATCAGCGTAGACATCGGGACCCCGAGGTTCCGTTGATATTGAGATTAATATAGATATGCGGACCCGAACGCCTTTTTCAAGTAGACTTTAACTCTGACCGGTGCCAATATTGCTATTTGGAATATAAGATCAGACCTTGACCCCAACCCTGACCTCAACATCTGACCTAGGTGAAGAACCCATGTTATTTTGACCATAACAATACAATCAACCTGTGTATTTCGATGCAATCTTGAAAATGACATCAACGTCAACATTGTGACCCATATGCTTTATTAAAGATGAGATCAAGATAGTTATGGGGACCCATATACTTTGTTAAAGTGCAGTCTTTCAAATGTTGGTTTTGACCCAAACCCATAACCGAGATCTTTGACTCGGGCTACTTCCCTACCTTGTTGTTTTCAAAACGAATCAGACCTAGACTAAGACCTTAACCTGGACCTTTGAATCCGGGCGCTGCCCTGTAATGCTTTTTTGAATATAAGATCAAACCTTGACCAAGACCCTAACCCTGACATGATACCCAAGTCCAACAGCTACGTTATTTTGACTATATTATCAAAATAAACATCTGCATCGATTCGAGGCAATCTTGAAGATGACAACCCTAATGTTGCGTTGAAGATAAGATGAACATTGATATGGGGACCTGAACACTTTGCCTCAGTGGACAATGCGAATTGCAGGTCTGGACCAATACCCCGAAAGCGGACCTTTGACTCCGACTGTTGCCCTTCCGTGTGCCTTTTAAATATAAGATGAAACCTTGACCAGACCTTTGACTTAGGTCATTGCGCTGTTTTGCTATTTTAAATATAAGATCCGATCTTGACCAGAACCCTAAGACGAACTTTTGACCCAGATCCAACACCTTTGTTATTTTGACTATAACATCAAATTCAACGTCTGCATCGTGGAAATCTTGAAGATTGGATCAACGTAGACATCGACCCCTTTTATAAATCCACAATATCAAATATAGGTATGGGTCAAAAACTGGTTTGTATGCTAAGTTCGTAATATAAACAATAGGCGTTACAAAAGGAGCTCGCGGATTCATGACCAAGAAACAGTGAAAAAACACAGTTCGTGGATACATGACAAAGAAACAATAATGAAGCACAATGAATTTGACTGCACCTGACAGCAAGGTCATATATCCTTTATGTGGCCGCGGTGAGACGATGCCACAAGAGAGGAAATTTGTACCACTTACCGCTCGGTTGTTCACAACATAATACACCACCTCGCAACACATACAAGCATCGAGCACGACACTTTGCACCGATCATCAAACAACCCTGCAAGAAAGATAACAAACACGAAACATGACAAAAAAATTAGAGGATAAAACTCATCACATTTGTCTTACCGCCAGGTGCTCCCGGTTTCTGTTTCCCTTCCATGGGATGGATCGAACATCATGGGTCGCAACTCCTCTCCTTTCCCCTTGCTTTCGGTTCCCTTCTCGCTTACTACCTTTATCCGTTGCCTTCTTTGCCGACATTCCACCTCCTCCACAAACCTCTTCATCTTCCATGTTACTCCTCCACCCTTCTTTCGCTTTCCTTGTTTGTGTCCTCTTCGCTTAACTCCCCGTCTTCATCATTTTTTTCTTCCTCCTCCATTACCGCGGCCTCAATTTCTTCGTGTCCCTCTCCCTCTCCCCCGCCGTGTGACATGATCTCCAGCTGCTCCGCTGCTTCCCTTCCATGTGCCTCCGCGGAGGTGTCTGTCATCTCCGTATCCGACTCTTCCGCCGATTCCCATTTGTCCTCCCCTTCCTCCTCGCTCGACGACTCCTCTTCGTCCGCCGTTTCATATTCCTCCATTCTCACATCCTCCATTTCTTCCCCCCGCTCTTCCTCTTCCTCATCCTCCAATGTGCTCGTCGTTCCATCGGCAGGCTCTTGCTCCCCCTCTGCCTCATCCTCTTCCTCATTTGGTATCCGTGCGTGAACATTTCCGCTCCTATTTCTACCCTCCCTGTCCCGCTTCTTTCCCCGTGCCCGCTCCTCCGTTCGCACCCTGTTTGCATGCGTGGTTCTCTTCATTTTTTCTCCCTGGGTTTCCTTCCCTTCCTTGTACTCCCATGGCCTTTGCATATCTTTCCAGTTGTGAAGATTCAAGTATTCCAACGGCACATTCGCTTCCTAAAACGTGCTCATGCTAGTGAATTGATTGATACATGTGTCCACGTCCGCACCTGGACTGTCCCCCACCTCCGTGAAGAAACGTCGGAGACAATCTCTGTAACCCGATTCGGACCTCGTCAAAGACGACCTTGAATCTGGGGCCGACATTGTCCTGACTCGCTCGAGCACCTCCTCTGCATGTTCCACTGCACATTTTTGTGCGTCGTGGAGCTCCTCCCGCAGACAGCATGTGGGGTGCACATACACAAACCCTTTTCGCACCAGGTCGTCCACGATGTTCCTTCATCCTTCTCCTTCCTTGACCTCCACATCTGCCACAATTCTGTCGTAGCAATCACCGTACCAAGGATCGAGGTAAGCGAGCTGTTGTCCTTGCTCCATGACTTTTGTCATCTTCAGCACATGCATGAGGAGGTTATGAATGAGCGCGTGTTGTTTTCTCTCCATACCGTCTACGTGCGCGAGTCGTATGCGTTTCTCCGGCTCCCACAACCAAGGCGGCGGTTTTGGATGAAGTCTTTGACAATTCGGACAAGGATTCTCGCCGTCGATCCTCACGACCATGTCCTCTAGGTCGGTGATTTGCACGATACTGCAACACGCGCCTCCCGCCAGAGAACATGAAAATTTTTTGCATGTGCCGTGTCGTTTGATGGCAGCCCCCGTCGTTCGTATTATGCCCTTTAAGAACTCCGGCATCACAAACCATGGGTTCTCCTCACGCCTTATCAACGCGTTCACCTCCTTATTGATTCTCGGACACCATTTGCACCTCTCCGATATGACTAATCCTATTGCTCCCTCCACATGGACCGTCACGTGCTTCTTATCGGGCGTCGTCGATGCTGGCATAAACCTGAGGTAGGGGTGCTTCCAACAGCTCTTGAATCCCGGTAGGAAACGATAGAGCTCCTTCAGAATATTTAATTTGAAGTCTCTCTCCTCTTCTCCTTCTTCTCTGCCCGCCGCCTCCGCTTGCAAGAATGCTTTCGCATCGTTTTCCCCTGGCAAGTGCACCCACGACCTTAGCGACACATACTCTTCGTTTCCCCCCTGGTTCTCGTTGATTTTCTTCTCGATGCGGAACGCCGCCCTCCTTTTCTCCATGAATGTTAAGTCCTTGGAGATCCCGTTACGCATGGGAGCCTCGTCCGTGGTTGCGGCCCAACGCTGGTTTAAAGTCGGCAGCTCGTTTATCATGGCCTTCACGCTTGTGCACGTGTGCAACACATCCAAAATGGGAACGGTTGCAAAAGTCGGTTTCCCGCTGTATAGACTTGGTAGCCATGTCACAACGTACTTTGCGAGCGTCGGTCAGGAGTTCGCAGTTGAAGGCCCCGCGCCAACTGCTTCTCCATCCACATCCGGATCCCTCCTTCCTCGTTGTGAGTTCTCATCCGAAGCCGCCTCGGGTGTCATCCCCATTCTCCCCTCCGTGGCATATTCTCTGCTTCTTTCCCCCCTGCTGTCCCTCAAACCGTTGTGGCCTTCGCCGACCCCTTCTGCTGCACCCCTGCCCTCGTTTCCCGCCTCGTGTTTGCTTTCGTTAGAAATGGTTGAACTACGCCCCTCCTGAAGACCGGTTGTTTTTCTTTCCCTCGCCTCTTGCCGTGCCCTGTCGCCTCCGTTGTTCCCGTCTTCGCCCCCTCTAACAGATGAGGCATGGGGTGAACCCGCCTCTGTTTCCACTGTTCTTGGAAGGACAATATGATGGTCGCCTTCTTCTGGTCTCAGCTCGCTCACGAGCGCTTCCCGAATCTCGCATGCTCGAATGGAAAACTCGTCCATCTGAATGGCCATCAACCAATTGTCCTATACTCCTCCGCACCTCCCTTCTATCACGCGATGCTCTGACACAATTATGTATTCTACGGGCCGTCTGCGGTTCCCTTTCACCTGCGTCAGCCCGACACAAACAACAGCATGAAGACTTGAGTCCTCGTCATTATTTTTCAACATGCGTACTCTCTTGCTCAAATCTGCTGCATATTCCTTTGTCATCTTCCTCGAGGGCAAATCCACCTCCTCCCGTTCTGCTTCCTCCACCTCAAGAAAAAAAGTGGTGTCGATAAGCCTCCATACTATAACTGGTTTCCTTTGCTCCTTCGCTGGCGAATTCAGCGCACCTCTGAGCACTCTTTGGACTTCCTTCTTTTCTATTGCGCCGGCATTTGCGTACCCGCCTGACTCTTCAATATCACCCTTTGCCCTCAGGGCCGCAAAGGTAGGAGGACGCTGTTGAAAGATGAGCAGGGTTCTGAGAGCCCAGGCCGCGCCGAGGAAGGCCGCCTGAATGACCTCAATGGCATACGCCCGTAGGCCTCGGATCGGGGGGTTCGGAAGGGCGGGGCCGAATAGCAGCCAGTCGGTCCACTCGTCTGGAGACATCTGGGCACAATCCCCCCCCATCTCTTGCTTCCACCATTGCCAGAACTGCTGTTGCGGGGGGCACCCACACCACAAGTGGGGGAGGTCCTCGCATTCTGCTGCACAGTGTGGGCACTGCCCGTCCGAGTGTGACGAGCGCTTCACGAGCCACTGGTTCGTCGGGAGCGCCTGGTGAATGTTTAGCTAGAGGAGGCCTGCATGCTTGAGGTTAGGAAGCATTTGGAGGCGGCTGGCCATGGACTTCCATGCAGCAGGAGTCCACTTTGAAGTAGAAGTCCCCTTCAGCCAGCCTCGTCTGGCCCAGCGACTGGAGTTCCCGGTCCATTTGGTATGGCGCTGACAGAGTTCGGTAAATTTCTTTCGTGAAGACTTGATGCAGCGGGAGGGCCCGGCGCTGGAGGCCCTGTCTCCTCCAAGTCCACATAGCCGGGTCGATCGCCAGCTGGGCCGGGCGCCTTTCCGGGCAGAAGGCACGGTGCATGTTCCGGGCAAGGCCTTTCCTGTCCATGACCACCGAGACGGATCTGACGAGGTCCCGGGGGATCCATCCGTCCCTAGCCGGGGCGTGGACCAAGGGTTGTCCGAGGGCAGAGTCGGAGGGGGGGTTTTCCCAGGCTTCAGCTACCAACCAGGTCTCGCCAACACACGAGGTGATCTGGAATAACAAGCGGACCGGGTCATCAGAGGTAAATGTCACCCATTCCCTATCAAACCGCCGCGTCGTTCGACGAGCGTCCACCCAGACCCCCGAAATCGCCTGCTTGATGCCTTGTAACCGTTCCTTCTTATGCGTTCGACCATCAAGCTGCTTAAGTAATGTCGCCTCCTGTTGCCAGTCCCTGGACTGTGAGTCCCAGAGGTCTGCGACTCTCGCCACCCCAGCTTTGAGCCAAGCTTTACCAAAGGCACCCTTAGGCCCCACCCATGGGAACTGCTCCCCGTTGCTGTCCCGGATCGCCGGATTGCCGAACAGGGGCTACTGAAGAAGCTGATATGTCGACTCCGACGGTTTGAGCTCAAGCGGGGCCAGGTCCTGCCACAGCTTCAGAAACGGGGACCACAACGCACCTTTTTTAAGCTCCGTAAGGATGGTCGGCTGAACCAGGGCGAGCTCCATGTCTGCCGGATGCACTCGGGCAGACTCCGCCATGGTCTGCAGTGTCAGGGTTTTCCAGGGAGCGTGATCCTGCTCCAAGAGGAGCCACGGGACCGTGCGCAGCTGCAACGCCTGAATTTGAGTGGCCGGGTCGATCAGGCCCAGTCCCCCGCATGCTTTCGGTTGAATGCGCTTTCGCCAGGAAACGCGATGAATGGCATGCGGGGCAAACGGATCGTTCTTCCAAATAAACTTGGAAAGCGCAGTCTGGTACTCCCGCTGAGGGACTGGGCCCGGGGTTGACACAGCGGCTGCATACCAAAGCATTGCAGAGGCCGTTGTGTTCACTAGGAGCACTCTGCCAAATATCCCAGCGTCCACCGTTTTGCCACAAAGAGCAAGTCGCGTGGCTGCCTTCCTCATGAGCTGCTCCATCTGGGATCCGACAGTGAGGGCCTCAGGAAGGTCAATGCCCAGGTAAGTTGCCGTTTCTGACATCGGCTGAACACGCATCCCCTAAAACAAGGGGGCAGCAGTGAGATTCGGCACCAAGGCCACAGATTTGTGCTAGTTCATGCGTGCGCCAGCAAATTCCTCAAAGGTGGCCACCTGGTTTCTCAGTGCAGCGACGCTAGCCGGCGTGGTTGCCGTGACCGTACCCGTGTCGTCCGCGAAAGCTGATGATTTGAGCTGCCTGCCTCCTGGAAGAGGTAGCCCCATCAGGTCCTCATATTCGTATTGGAAATCAAAATCAAGTGAGCTTTTGCCCTTTTGCTCCACACAACATTTCCGTTCTCGTTGAGCTCATCTTAGGACACATGCGTTATCTTCTAACAGATGTGCCGCCCCAGCCAAACTCCCCACCTGACAATGYCTTTCGCTTGGATCGGACAGGCCACGAGGGCCTGCACCTTGGATCAAGAAGCAGGGGCAGAGCCCCAGCTTCACCTCACGAAATAAGTAAAATAACATTAAAAGTAGTGGTATTTCACTTGCGCCGTAAAGCTCGCACTTATTCTACACCTCTCAAGTCATTTCACAGAGTCGAACTAGAGTCAAGCTCAACAGGGTCTTCGTTCCCCGCCGATTCTTCCAAGCCCGTTCCCTTGGCTGTGGTTTCGCAGGATGGTAGATAGGGACAGTGGGA